ATATAGATATATGATATATTATGTAAATATGTATATACATATCGTAAATACATTATATATATATATCATTAAAGATAAATCATCTTATGAAGAGATATTATCATATTTTAGAATATTATAGATCTATCGTATATTATTTAAATATATTATATACGGATACGCAGATTCACAGCATGTCTTTGGGCGGTCCCCCGCTTTGGGCAGGGCCTTCTGGCACTTCAAAGGTAACCTGAGAGCAGCCAGAGAGACCCAACTGATTCCTGTGACAAAACGGGGTGGTTCCATTAATGGTACCCCAAATTGGATGCTGATTTAGAATGGAAATCATGGAAAATCCTATTAAAATCCATTAAGCTGGATAAATTAGATGATGTATAATGGAAAATCCTATTGAAATCATTCAAAAATATATTAAACTGGATGATTTGGAGGTGCCCCCATTTTCGAAAACCTCCACATGTGACGAATCTGCAATCCGAATCAATCCTACACGGCCCGAACACGAAGAAAAACAGGCCTGGATGACAGCCTGGGTGAATTTTTAGCCAGGGCAGTTCTCATTGCCGCAAATGGTGATGATCCAATGATGTGAAATTGAACATCTCCCTCTTCCGAGCCATGAATCGTCCACCGGACCAGCCAAGGACTGGCAGCAAACTTCGCTGTGTCAAAGGGGTCTGTTCCAAACGTCCTGCTTTAATGCACTAAAGTACCACATAATCAGCATATTAAATTAATAGTATGGTACATATTAGTACCACTAGTTATATCAGGTTACCATCCGCAGGCCATTGCGCAATGCTGCTGTGCAACACTGCGTGGTGATAGCGATGGCAAAGACCGCGCCAGAGAGCGAGGTGTTGACAGCTCGTCTCCCTTAAGGTCTGGGATGTCTGGGGGCCTTTCGTGCACTGGGACAATTACCATATTTCAGGAAGCTGAAATAAGGCTCACATACTTTGCAAGCGGTCCTCCCCCAGCGAGCTGAAATAAGGCCATTTGGGGATGATTCCCTTACGAACCATGATTCCAGTGAGGCCACAGTGACGTCACTATAATTTGCCCAGACTTATAGTATGCGCCAACTTTCTGTAACCTACGCATGCACAATCCACTGACACTTTTAGCATGGAATCCCACAAGTCAACCTGAATCACCCATATTCAAAAGCTGATATCACAAATACTTGGCTAATGGAAGTTGTCTGAAAATGTTTTGTTTTCCCAATTCCACTGGCTTATTCCCACATGAAAAATATCATTGAATGGCCATAAATGGCCCATCAATGGGACGCTGAATATTGCATCCCTCACCCACCGCACCATTCATCACCGGGACGGAAACTCCACGAAGCCGAGGCAAAGTCCACCCGGGCTTCAAATATCCTGACCGCGGCGAGAAGTCTCGGGACGCGGGCAACCCGGGGGGAGATCTTCGTAGGAAACAGGCTGTCCTTTCGATGTTTCCCTCACCGGGTCTCGAGGTGAAACCGTACCATCCATTCGGCTTTCAAAACCTCGGCCAAAACTCGGGTGATTTTCCTGTCAAAACGATTTCTTGAATATTCTTGAATTCTCATGCTCATGTACTACATGTACTCTCATGTGCAAAGCCAGGATCTGTCCAAATTCGATGTCGAAAGCATCACCAAACAGCTGCAGGCTTCACCAGTCACTCAGTTGTTTCCCTCAAATCTTGACCCCAAAAGCATCCAAAAGCGCCAAGCAACAGATTCAGGTACGAATCGCAAATGCACGCGGCCCTCCTATATACATGTTTATTCCTTGTCTAGGTCTAGGAGATTCTAGGAGTCTAGCCTTCTTAAGTCTGCATAGCTGAGAACGATACTCACGGAATCTCATGATGTCAAAAACAAGATGCATGGAGGATTTTAATGGATTTTAGATATTTTACCCAGGGCCATGACCCGATGCCTTCTAGAAAGAACCAACAGTGACACACCTAATTAACTTCCAAAGGATAGCATTATTTTTGGATTGCACCAAAGCAAGGGGTGACACAACAGCCTTTTGAGCCGAAATGGCAGGGATCAACGACGTGTTGAACCTGTTGCAGGAGTAGCTGCAGAGAAGGAATTCAAAATTGACAAAATGAAATTGATGAATGGTGCAGCTAGAGCTTAGACATACTGAACGATGCCCCAACATGCCACAACTATCCCCAACTGAGGCTTTCTTCAAATCTTTCTGTATTTTCAGGTTTCAGCTGGGTTATTACTATAATCCCAAATAGACTGATAAACCTAAAGGTGGGGAAAGAAAACAACCGTTAAGCGCAGCAACTCAACCCTTTTTAGCCTGAGCCGCATAGCTGTAATATGCATCTATCATACATGTGTGTTTTAGGTGAGGTGATTTTACACCCCCCTCAGGTGAGCCGGTTACGGCGAGGATGCCTCATTTACCAGGGCGAGGTCTTTAAGACCTGCCTCACCGAACCTGCTCTTTGCAAACCCAAGGGAAACACACTCGGCGGCTAT